GTAATCATGTTGTGATAATTATCCATGATATTGACGACTCGTAATCGGTAGTTGACAATTCAATGACGACAATGTAATCTTGACATTCTGCGAATGAATGCCGCAGATCACGAATAGTCTAAAAAATTCAATCGATAAAAGCTGCATAGGTCATGATTATCTCCATCATAACAATTTTTCTATGAAAATAATAATCACCGAAGAGTAAATCAAATTTTCAAATATCATTATCTCATTCATTTAACACTTTTAATATACAAACTTTCTGATCTTTGTATTAACAAATATATCTCAATTTTACACCAAACCTACATTGAGAAAAATGTCTAATTGGATTAAATGGAATTTCGATTAAAAATGAATCAGATTTTTTTGCTTATGCTAGAATCTAGTTAAGATAATCAGAATTGTGATTGTAATCAGAATCTTCTAATTCATTTTCAATCCGACATTTTTCTCAGTGTAATATAAGATAATTAACATAATTAATGTAATATAATTAAGAAGCATGTAAGATGCAAATTTTCAAATAGCATTGAGGATGCATAACGCCGGACCGCGGCATCAATGTTATTCTACTGTCTGTCTTCGCGAAGCACTGAAACGGAGGCGACCCTGACAGCACGTGCATACGTCGTTCCGCGTTTATATCGAGCTCAATGCAATAGCGTTTGTAGAGAACTGCACCTGGCAGCGCCCACGAAAAAGCAGATAAACGATCCGTCTTTCCCGCATCGCCTGTAACTGATTTGCATCGTGTAAAGTTCGTCTTGCACCATGCGCCAGTTGCATCTGCGACGAGATGCATGTGCGGTGCGTTTGACTGCTTCCCGCCACGTGTCGTCCGGGAAGGAGCTATAAGAAATGTTGTGCACTCTCGATGAACGTCAAACGTCGTCTATGTCGTGTGATTGAACATCGTCGGCATTTGAAGCTGTCGGTGAGACCAGGAATAAAAGAATAAATTTTATCACTTCGGCAATAAGGTAGCAAAATTTTAAACAAAAGAAGCTAATATTTTAATTTATTATAATTCTTTTTGCACTTGTCATTAATTATTTATTTTATTCAGCGTCGAATAACTGACTATATTTACGGCCGAATAAACAGCAAAATAAGTAGTAAAGAGAATGAAAAGAGATCTTTACAGTTAAAAATATATATAAATCTCAAGTATTGAATGAAAACAAGCAATAAAAAGTTTCAAGTTACAGAAGATCATTATGAAAAGATTATTATAATTTCCACGCACATTTAATGCAGGTAATTTAGTCTTTGTTGTAAGATGACAAAATGCGCTTGTATAAAACGCATGTCAAAATTAACATCTTCAGCGTAGGTAGATAATCATAGTGTAACATATCTTTTTATATGTTCGTTTATATCATGACGCATAGTCTGAAATGAAGAACTGTACCATGACGGTGCAGTGCATTACACTTTATTCACTTGCATGTCGTTCTTGTTAATTAAATATATTACTGATATTATATCGACATTTTATTAGTAATTTATAAAAATAAATATTATATAATATTTCAACAAATTCCGTTAGAATTACATTTTTTCACAATATAAATAATCATAATAATTATTGGATTTAAACCAACATTTTGTTGAATGAAATGCATTTTTTCGAAAAAAGTTTTAACTAATTATACTTTTACAAAATAATTCTCTTAACTTTTACGTAATCGTAAACAGAAAAAATAGGCACGTGCGAAACTGTAAATTATTCTCTGAATTTGTTGCTCATATCAAAATTAAATCGATTATATGTGATAATTTATCACTTCTACAAGGGTGAACAAAGAAACGTAACCGTGACAGTTACATAGTCAATATATAAGCGTAAATGTATATGAGAATCATACTTCAGCGTATATATATCTCTGTTATTCTAAGAAACTTACATTCTAGAATAATAATACTGACATTAAACTTTTGTTTGCAAAGTAAGTACATTATTTATGCATGATCTGCTATTCGTTCAATTTTTATCTATTCATTAATTTCAGGAAATCGTAGATTTTGAAGACAATTAAAAGATAAACACTCTGCACACTGACATAAGTGGAAAATTAATGACTAGATGTATTACTATTTGATTCTCAGACTTTCAAGTTGAATATTTTCTTTTTTTATCAAAATTAAATTTTGACTAATTATTATATATTTTATTATATTATTTTATATTATTATATATATTATTATATATTGATTATTAACAAACATTTTTATTATGTTTTGTTATAATATTACATATTTATAACATTAAAGTTACTTTAATAAGCGTGAGAACAGAGAACTTAAGAATGTCGCAAAAGGAAATTAGTAAATGTCTCAGAGGAAGAAGATGATTACACGGGACAAGATGAAGATATTGTAATAGACAATTATATTATTACACTTATTTCTCCTGCGAAAAACAGCAGAAAGTACTTTTAATTAGAAGAAAAGAAGATTCTCTAAAATCTCAGAAGCTTAAAGATTAAGCAGAAATGATTGTCTATTAAGCTAAAGAATTTGTAATATTATAAAGCAATCAAGTCCATTGGAATTAATGTTTAATTATGTGCCTAATACATTTCCAGAAATATACATAATTATACGGACTATTTCAGAAGCATTCAGAAAGATATTTTTATAGATTCCTGTGTTGAATTTGTTGTAATACATAAAAATGATATATTATAATATATACATAATATTAAATGTCATGAATTTATATTTTTGAGATAATGTTTCACATTTTAATATGCACGTATTTATAATTTCTAATTTAAATTTATAATTCATAATTCAATATTTCAGAAAATAAATTGATGTTGTTTATCACCATTCTAACGTTAAATTTATTTCCTGTGATTGCTTCAAAATAATGTAGAAATAACACTTGAACAACATTTGAACAAAGCAAAATGTTACCTAACCAAAATGTTAGCTTTTACGTGGGTTAAATTCAATTTTGCATTTCTAGTTTATTCTGTTGAAAGAATATCATGTTTAGATTACTCGTATTCTCATCCACGTTCTTGCTCCTTTTTTAATTTTGTAATCAATCCGCAATCTCTATCTCATATTTGATCAAATACAAAAATTCTTTTGACATTTGTCTCTTTTTCATTTCTTTCACTTTCTGCATTTTTGCACGGATTCATGAAAAGATTCTTAAAAGACTTGTTAGTTGTCAACTACACTTATCGAATAAAACGATTTAATGCATTAATTCGGTTGCGCTGCACTGAAAGAAATTGGTTGGGCTTCCTATGTAGTATAAGAGTGGACAGAATGTGTAATACGTGAATACGTCAGAATGAAATGATATTTACTATAAATTCTAGTACTATAAGTTAAATAGAAAATAATCGGTCGATTGAACGGATCCTGATAAGATAAGTGTAGTTCAAATAAAGCACACTTCAGTTAAACATAAACAAAAATAAATAAAGCAATATGAATATTAAAAAAAATATTTAGATAATTTTAACTGAAAAATTTATTTTTTTGTACAAATTATCACATTATTGAATACTATACTGCATATTTTTTATATACTTTTTATTAATTATTATTTAAGTATAATGAGCATTGTTAATGTTATATATTGTATATGTCATCTTATTAATTCACTAAATATAAAATTTAAATTATTGTAGATATAAATTTATATAAATCTCGTAAGCGAAATGTTTTTATTAATATGTTTTTATTATCTCTATTAATTTTTTATTAAGCATTTGTGCTGCGCGTTAATTAATATTTAAATTGTTTTTAATTTATTATTTTACGATATATTCATTGTTATAATATGTATAAAGGAGACATGAAATAACTATTAAAGTACACCAATCTAACTTATAATTTGTAAAAAATATAATTTTCTTTTATTCTATTCAGAAATATGATCTTTTTATTTTTAGAAGATCAATTATGAAATCTTTGATATGAATAAAATCGTCGTCGAGCTAACCACAGAATGTGCTAAATTCATCTTCGTTACCGAGCGAAAGCTCAACGAAAACGTTGAAATTTATATATCTCTTGCAAAGACAGTAAATTACATAAAAGCTAGCTCGCGATAATTTGCAAACGGGAGACAAATACAATGTCAGGAATACAAGATGCAAATGTATATATGATATATTTAGTATTATTGTGCCAGAGAATTATTTAAGCACAAGATTAATTATGCAAAATTGCAGATAGTCATGTAATGTACGTAAGAATTATACATACAATTTCTAATTTAATTATCAAGATAAATTTTTATTAAGGAAGAAAGAGAAAATTGATTTATAACTGATCGAAAAGACTGCATATTTTAATATATTATAATTATTATATATATATATATGCACCTACATATAATACCTTATTTTTATTTCTTTTAATAATGATAAATCAAAAATATTCATGTTTTTAAAAATACATAAAGTAGAAATATAAACTACATTAATCAATTAAATAGAAGGAATGAGAAAGATTGAAATGAATAATGAAATGAAATTTAATAGCATGGAAACGGAAGGAGAAAGATGAGGAGGAAGCAGTTGCGTGCAAAGTGACTCTGACGATGGAAGCTTAATTATTATTAACTGGTGTCAGTAGTTGCGGCCGGTTGTGGACAGACACCTACGAAATAATTTGCGTTGAAGTACGGTCATGTGCACACATTTGGCATCATCGTCCAAATGAATAAAGCAATTTTCAATGTGCATCTATCGAATGGACCTATAAGTTAACAACAAAATTCGTATTGACCTTTATTAATAAAATACTGGTTGGGTGTTCACTAAAGGAAAATTTACGTCTCAGAAGTGTTTCTCGGAAAGAGAACAAAATCACGGATAAACGAACCTGATGATATTTCTGCCGGTTGGGAACTCGTTAATGCTCTAATAATAGAAATTGCGTCCGCGTTGATGTAGCAGATGCATACAGAGTCGTCGCCATTGGCATTGCGATAATTAAATAGAACATTCAATTAATTTTCATAGGCCGTGGATGCAGCCGAGAGCCGGCAGTGGCGGGGGGCGCCCCCGCGGGCCGGGCGGGACAGGTGACGATGAGGCCCCGAAAGACCCGGGCGCGCGGATTACCCATCAGTCTTACACGGAAAAAGATTATGAAGGTAAGAAATGTTTATGTATTTCTCAATTTTTTAAAACTAATGAGAGTTAATCAGTATAAACATAATTACTAAACTTTGTATTACATTTAACTCCATTGAAAAGCTGTAAACAAATAAGAAATTATTCTGAAATAATTTAATTTAATTTAAATTAATTAAATAAGACGTTTCATAATTTAACTTTTTTTTTATCGTTGTACACAAGTACAACGATTCTGTTTGAAAATATAATTTTATAATTAAAATAAATACTACTTCATGATTTATTAAAATATCTTTTTAATCAATATCATACTTATTTAAATCTTATACTTATTTTTATTTCTATAATACATTTTTAATAATATATAATTATAATATTTATTAAAACATTCTTTAATTATATTTAGATTAACTATTAAATAATTTGAGTTATAGCTAAATAATTAAATGTAGCATTCGAAATAGAATTATTTCTTGTGCTGGATAGGTTTAAATTTAAAAAGTATGTATAGAAAGGTGGATTAAAGGTGATAAGTCGAAATTATTTAGTAAAATAGAACGGTCGATTCACTGATATTGAGAACTGCGGTTATGTTTGACTTATCAATTCCACATCTTATTTTTAGAAAGTATTATAAGTATGTGTAAGAAATTTGATAAATTTTCCTTCTATTATTTAAATTTCGATGAAAAGCTTTAATTGTAGATCTTTTACTAAAAATATAGGTATATCTTATAATATTTATGCAATCGACAATAAAATGATATAAATTTAACTGACAGAAACTGACGCGAAAAATATCAATATGAGAATAACTATTCTGACAATTCTTGATATCAATTCACATAAAATTTTTACGATCGCGAATATTTTATAAGCAAATGGATACCGTAATGAGCTTTTGCTAAAACATCAAGCATTGTCTACAGCAGGTAATAACGCCTGCATCTGCTTTAGGTCAGTCTGATACGAATCTGGCTTCAGTGTTTGCTCACATGACGAACCTCGCGCGTGTAGGTGCTTCGAAAATCGTTACTTCGTCAAACAACATTGTCTATGGATGGATATGGGCTTGCGAGGTCACTTCATATCGATAACGAAACCTGCGAATAGAGGCCATACATGTGTGGTCTTGTATCGTAAATGCTGAACTATCCAGCGAAACAAATTGATCGTCCAATCTAAAGGTGTTCATCTCCTATGATTGACGCGATATGAAAAACGTCAAGTTGCTCTGAAAAATAAAATTTTTATGTTAAATATTTGATTCACTCGATCTCTTTATATAAATATAAATTCATATTATAAAAAAATGTCTAAATTTTCGAGATATATGTATTTAATATACATATATAAATATATTTTAAATTAATGTTATTTATAGACTATAGTATTGATATTCAATTATGTTTATCTGTCTGTAAATCACGTGTTTTTAATGATCCTAAATAGCATAATAAACTATCTGTCCACTTAGCTATCATATATCTTTTGTAATATTCTCAATTTGACAGGTGTAATAATGTAGACGACACAATTAGCTAATAAAAGTAGCTAAAAATGCGTAGATTTCTTATATTTATAGGACGTAATAATTATCCTTGTAAATTCTATAATATTAGAAAAGTTAATGGTGCGTCAATAATACAATGTATGTCATCCGCATGAAATCCAACTATTCATGTCTATTGTTACAAACTCGGCACGAATATTTTGACCTTTTAGTTTGCATGAATTCATCTTAGCACCTGACCTTTCATTCGAATTATAGCCAATGCGTAAATGAATCTCATCAAACACAACGATGTTTCACTTCTGTAGGATCTACTTGTTTCACGCGAACATTTTCACAAATAGGATTACGCGATTAAATGACGCTGACCTAATTTTCTTTTGTAACGAAAGAAAAGTTCGTGTGTCGCGTGCACTTTCATATCAGGGAGAATCGCTCTAAATCCGCGCATCTTCTCCATGGTGTGAGTTGCGAGGCACTGTATATGACGGGGCATCCCTTTCATCTGCTTCCAGGTCACAGAGCGCACACGGTGTATGTGGGCGTGCATTTACCAGGGGAAAGGAGACATCGTCGACACCATAAACATCACCATTCACAACGGCAGCCGTACCCCTGTGGTAAGGAGGATGCCGACAACGATAGACCAAGTAAGTCTCGAGCTTCATTTCGTTTCTTCTTTTGTGCTCCACAAAGTTGTGCGACTCTTGTCAATAATGATGTTGCGTTGTGCAATACTTCGACCTTGTTCAATCAGTGACAAAGTATAATGACATATCGGTACTATACATAAATCTGTATAATGACGAACGTACAAAATAATACTGTGCGGATGTGGTGATTATGAAATAGATGTTTAATTCCTTTTGTAGATTACTAATGTTAATTCAGTTATCCTTCAACGTTAGGGAATTAATTCAATAGGATGTACTTATATAATACTTCATCAAAAATGAATTTTGTACTTTACATCTATTTCTAACAAACACTACCTAATAATAACATAATTGTTAGTTACAAATTCTTATAATTTCTTACTCAAAAATATAACTGTTACGTGCAACATGTATTACTGTTTAAAGATTATGCGTTTTGCAGATTTTCTCCATGTCCAGATCCATTCTTGGAATGCCAACGTTTTGGAATGCCAATAGAATGTATTATTGTTATATTATTGAGTAAGAAATTATAATTAACAATTATTGTTAGTTGATGTTTGTTGAGATTGATACATGTTTCTCTATTGTTAAATTATACGTAACTTATTTGTATATTCTATACACAAAACATTTATACATTGTTTCATATAATAACTATTTCGATATATCATTTGATTAGATACTATCGTATCCAACATTCCTATCAATAAACGGATGTTTCAAATACTGTAGCTTAATAGAATGTTGCGGTAGAAAGGAGAATTTACACGTAAGCATGCGAAACGTTAATTACGTATGCAATATAACTTGGCTTTTACCGAAATCATATGAAAATGCAAAAGAATAAGTTCTTATATTATATATAATGAATAAAGGATAGTATAGGACTTTTTGTAAGCAGCCAAAATCGAATAATAATGGATGTTACAAAATAAAAACAATAAATAAAATTTATTCTGTGAGAAAATATCAAAATAATATTTCAACTTTACTAAATCTTCATCAGAGGGATAGGAAGGTTTTTTTAATCCATCCAAATTGATGGAGATTAAGTAGAGTTGAAACGTTTTTTGTTTTGATATTTTCTCAAAGAATAAATTTGATTAGTATTCTTATTTTGTGACATAATTGCTCGATTTTGGCCATTATCTCCATCTCTTATGTTAATAAAATCACAAGAATCTTCATAATTGTACTAAGAATTTACAAGATTAGATGAAAATTAATATCCTAATCATTCAGCTTGAAAGTTAATTTAATGCACTTGCAATATAATGAAATAGTCAAATCTTATAATATCGTACTCATCCCACGATATTTATACTATTTTCAATTCTTAGAATTTGGCATCAATACGTACTACGTTCTTTCAAAAACGATACATAAGTATTTCTAATATACGTAAAATTAATTTTTCAATTTATTTACAACTTGAATACTATATATTTTATAATTGTTTTACACATGTAAAAAAAATATTACATAAATTAAAGAGATATACAAAATAATTTTATAATTATTATCGATATGTTTTCATTTTAATAATAATTAATTTATAAGTTACAAGTTGTTTTTATATGCAAAATATTATATATTTTTTAAAAACAGAAACAATTCTTTTAATCCCATATAAATTTCTTATTTATTTAATATTACATTTAATACATAGTTTCTAAAAAAGTATTATTTAATTAAATATAATGTCTATAAATATAAAGTATCTAATTTATATCAATCAAATTTCAGTTATGTGATATACATTTTCTGCTTTTGTTTAGAACAGACAGTTGGTAAATTTAACAAAAGAAGACTGTGCCAGTCTAAAAATGAAATGAGACTCGCAGCCTTGCATTTTGTAGCGGCGTGAATTTCATACTTCGTTGACAGTGCTATATTATTTCGTCCACTTAAATTGAATCTCATTTCAAAAATAGCGGTCATTGCATGGAATTATTACACTGATTGTTCTAAAAATTTACAACTACTTTATCATACTAAAACCAGTTCAGAAATGCTGAAATGTCTAATATGCACTTTTGCGGCAGTATCGAACCGAATGGCAGCGCGCCAACCACTTGTCGAGACTTATCCGGATATTCACCCTACTTCCGATACCTCGAATATAAGAAGACAGTCGATACTGAAATACTGTAGTAGTCCTTCAATATACGGGAATGATTTTATGTGCACCAAGATGAAAAAAAAAAATATTACTTGAGAAGTGAATCCTATTTGATATACAAAATATTATCCAAATTGTTGCTATCCGACATATTATATTAGCACAAGCAATTTTTAATCATACATTCAAGGAAGTTATCTAATCTATAACAGTAAAACTTCTTTCTTTATATTTGGACAATTAATTTTTGAAATTAATAGTACCGTAAGCGTGCAAGAACTATTAACTTCTGAACAATTGAAAAAAAACATTTTATTGTTATAGTGTATGATTTTACAGTGTATGATTTTTAGTTAATTCCGTATTTTAACATATACAAGATGTTATATAATTGCTTTTGTTATAATTATTTTATTCGAATAACACTTTAAAGGTAGCCGCATTTAAGAGCGTATCGTCTGTTATTTTGTTATTAATTTATTTATATAGTTTTTAACTATATATATATATATAGCTAAGATTTAGCTTGATTCATCAATAATAATTTATTATCTTTAATAAAAAAAGTCTTATGAGAAAGAAATAATATCTTTGTATTTTATGTTAAAATAACAATAATATAAACATAAGACATAAATAGTAATTTCAGTCAATTTTTATAAAATTAGTACACAAATTATGCAAAAAAAATTGTTATTGTAGAGTTGATAAAAATTTTTTTTTGATAAAAATTTGTTTTTATCTCATAAAATTTGGCTTTTCATTATTAAGTATTTTATTTTAAATAATCAAGTTAATATTGTTTCAAATAAAATATGTTTGTATATTAATTTACAGTTTTATTTTTTTCTATAACTCTTTAACTTGATACATCAAAAAATCTTTGTGTAATTTAATTAGCACATTAAAAGACTCTTTAACGGAAACTTCTGGATAAAGTAAAGTATGCTCAAAATCGAATAAAATCAGGACGATTTGTCGTGAAGTACATTTTAGTGAAAAATTAAAAGACGTTAAAATAATTGATCAAATTAACGGTTGTAATGAGTAAAACACAATAAAGATGAGGAACTTCTTGGAAAATATTGATCGCCAGATTTCCAAGGCGCAACTTTTCTCTCAAGTCAAATTTTTGAACGTTTCTATTAAGTGAAATGAAAACATATTGCTTTTTCACATACTCAAAAGAGTTTTCAATTAATTAGATATATTTGTAAATAAATATTATTCAAATTATTTACAAATTAATCAAATTTCTATAAATTAAAAGAATAATCACATAAAAGAAATATATTTAAATTTTAATTCAAATATAATTTTGTATTGATATATTCGTTTTTCTTTAATACAACTCACCCAATTAAAAAGAACATGCACAAAAAATGGGATTGAACACATAAGAGAAGTATCTATTATTATGTTATCTATTTTACAAAGATATATCTATTTTGGTATACGATATATATTTCGTGTTATTTTGCTTGACAAGAGTCGATGAAACGAAACAAATCCTCATTACAACTACATCTTCAGAAAATGGATTTTTTGAGAAAGCACACAGATAAAACCCTCAATTGCAATTTCTTATCAGTTAATTATAGCACTATCCATTTAATTTCTGTTGCAACGAAGCATTCATGATTTGACCGCAATATCATTTTATTTACTTACAATATCTTTGTATCTACAATAGCTAATAAATTCTAAAGAATATACATTCAGTGCCAATAAATGAACAATCCTTAGAATGTATTAATCATTGCGATGCTAGTAATGGCATATCATTTTTTATATACTCAAACTTTAAAAACTGACAACAAAAAAGGAATGATAGTTAAAAAAATATTTTATAAAAAAAAATCGAAAATTTATTTCGAAAAACATAGAATATTAAAATTAAAACATAGAATATTAAAATTAAAATTGATGTAATTGAAATATATTAAATAGATTTGAAGTATTAAATATTATATTATTCATTTATTAAAAATTTTGTTCCTATTAGATTTAAATATTTTCCTGAAAATGCTGAAATATATAATTTCTATTTCTCAGTTCATATATTAATTTCTACCACTGCAGACTGAATCAATTAATATTAGATCTCAAGTCACTTGATTTCTTTTATAGATAGCTACAACTTATTTTATATAATATCGAAGTATCTTCATAACTTTATAGAATCTTGTTATATTAATTACTAACTCATTTATACTTTAGTTAGTTTAGCGATAGATTTTAAATTTTAATTAAACGTAAAAATTTGACGGATCTTTAAAAATTTTTTTGCGCAAAATTAAAAAGTCGATTTATATTAATCAAATCATAAATAATAGATTTAAATTCTACATAGAATATCAAATCATAGAATCAATCATTTAATTCTACATAAAATAATCAATTATTTAATTCACTTATTAATCAATATTAAAAAAATATTTAGAAAAAAAGTCACATCATATAAATAAAGATCATAAATTTAATAAATTTTAATAACAGATAATAATAGGGGAAAAATGAAATGATGTCAAACAAAAATTCCTTTGTCCATTATTTAATTATTGTGATAAAAAAAAATTATGTTTTATCTATTATTAACATAAGTAATTTAAAATATAAAGTTTTATATATCGTATATTAAAAAATTACTTATATATATATATGTATTATGTAATAAAATACAAATCGCGAAAAACACAGCTTTTAAAAGTCTAATGTATTTCTTCCTGTTTGTGCTGTAAATGCCACTTATTAGAACATTGAGAGAGCTATTAAGTATGGAAGTTTAGCGAAGCGTTATACGGTTTTGACGTAAATTATAATAGTTATCAAATCAAAGTAAATAAATTGAATTCCTTTATGTGCACATATGATCAATGAGAAATATTCAAGATACACTTAATCAATTTGTCAACACTTTTCATCGCAATATCCAATTATATCTTTAATAAACATCGTGTATATGTTGAGACAAGTGATTAAAATATTCTTCATCAAGAACAGCTATAAGCTAAATCAATACCGCAATTCTCGTGCTTACATTCGTGATTCTCTCTAATTGAGAACACAAATGATAGACCAACAATGTTTTACTATATCAAATAATATCTAATTATAAAAAGAATTAAATAATTTTCTCTGCAGAAAGACGAATTTTTGTTTTTCGTAATTAAATTGGAATTATTTAGTTTAATCCGCTCATCTTGTATGTCAATAATCTAAAAAGATTCGACGCAAATTCTCTCGAAAATCAATATTCCTTTAGTCCGAATGACACGGTATCGCCGTTGACATTGCAGGACAATTTTTGATGGCGCGCAGGGGTCGTCTCGCTAGCATCTGCGACCCCGCCGGCGAGATGATATGTAAGCCACCCTTATGCATACATACGAGGCTCCTTTATGTGATGCAAATACTTTACGCGAGATCGTTCGTGTATCCCGCAACGCAATACGATCCTTCAAGTTTTCTCGTTGAATAATCTCACGTCTTCACTATTATGCCACTATTTGCGCACGAGGTATCAACGAGCCATTGGTTGCTGATGACGCTTTCATCAAGATCATGTTCCGCGAAAAATAACAATCTTGATTAGATTTTAAACCTAACATAATGTTTCAGATGTCTGCGATAATCGCGTCACGTGCATCAACGTTTATCAGACACAAGTAGCTTGTATATCACACAGACATCGTTTTGATTCGTTCATTACTGTTATATAAACGTGATTGTATTTGATGTTATCGAACGCATTTGTACCATAAGTGCCTCGCCATGCGTTGCAACGCGCGTGGGTTTATTAATTCTGCAGGTGTCCGGTGCAAATTATGATAGGTATAATGATTCGATTACGCAATGCGCAGGTTAAAAATAAATATTCATAGTCTTGTGGGATGTACGAACGGTACCGAAATTTTGACGACGCACGACACAACACATATATAATTTCAGAGGAGGGTAAGACCGCTATTTCCACATTTGCGGGAAATAAACACTGTCGAGTGTTAATTTTTGTGTTGTTAACGTTACTATGCTACAATAAATGAGTAAATACATCGCTCGTGATAATTGGGTATTAAAAAAATTTTGTCATTACGTATTATTGAGTACGAGATATAATAGAGTTGCTTAGGAGATTTATAATTTATAATAGTTATTATAATTGAATAAATTTATTTTCTCATTTTAAAATTAAAGTACAAAATAATTAAGTTATTCACGAATATTAATTTTATTACTAAAATAAAAATATAACATTTAAAAATATAATATATTATGAAAAATATTTGTATATATAGATAACGCTTTAAATAATCTTATGATAAGATCTTATAGGTCAGTATATAATAATTGATTGACCTTAAAGTCTTTCTTTACATCGGCGATAGTTATAGAACAGGTCGGGGCTATGCAATAGCTTTTTCCCTTGCCATCTATTTTATAAAATAGTATTTTACCCAACTCTAGTTATATTGACTTACATTACACAACAGGTTACACAATTGTTTTAATCAGAAGATTTCTATCTTTTCATTCTGCTTTCTATGTGTCTTTTAAAAAAATCTCTCTAATGTGCATGCGTCATCTATCATGGCGTATACATACGTTCATACACATAATACGTCTATACATTTTACGCTATTTGCCGATCGATCGATCAACGTCAACTTCCTTTCATTCCGCTTTGAATTTGACGTGACCGTACTCAAAAGATGTTTCAAAAACGGAATTCTGTCCCTTTTTTCTGTTATTTAAGTTTCATTGACATCAAGTAATGTCAGATACTTAAATTTTGTGGTGACATCTCTTAGTCCTCGCCAAACCTTGTTTCTTCATCTGAATATTTTGTTCCACAATTTTTTTACAATTCTTTTAGACATATAAGAATTTATCTTATCTCTGTTGATATTTTATTAGACAAATAGTTTCTCTTTTATATAAATATTTATGTAACGTTTTTTTCTGAACATTACATTCATTCGCTGAGATGCGCAAAGAATAAAATGGAACATGGCATGGAAATTGATAGTTTACTTGCTTGCATACTGTTCTGCACGCAAATAAGAATAACCGATTTTTCTTAATAATTCGTTGTTATCTCTGATTAACGTGCAAGTCCTCGTAAAAGTTGTCACTCTATTTGATAAATAATGTAAATAATACAAAATTGAGATCAGTATGTCTGCTGTTATAATATTATAATATTGTATGTATTTTGCATTTGTCAACTTTTAAATCACATTTAGCTGAACATTTCGTAAACGATGTCATTTAAAACAAATTTCTCATTTGTTATATCTTGTTATACTTGGCATATATATTCTGATATAAATGTATGTCCTCTCTGTTTGAATATTGTATATATTCTCGCATACCTTTGTTAGCGATTATGACTTTGAAATTGGTAATTCACGCCTTATCGCACAATTGTTTAGTCACTCCACCAGCCCAGAGAGTGCAGTTTATCCTTGGCGAGGAAGTCGGTGATGATGCACACGAATCACATCCGTTGTTCTCGGAAATGGAGGAGCTCGTCAAGGATGGCGATGAAATGGAATGGAAGGAAACAGCAAGGTAAAAGTCGAATTACAACTCCACTTTGTCGATTTTAACCTTTTGAAATGCGAGAATATGTTTATGCATTGAAATCATCCGTTCCACAATAGTAAATATTCATAAAATAATATCTAATTTATTCGGTTCTGCGTATGTAGAACAGTCATATAACAAAATACGTATAATACAAAACACATAATTGTACCTAATTCTTTGAGTATGTCAAAATAAATAAATATTAATAATACACACGAGTAAAAGTTTTTATACATAAAATACTGTAATAATAATTCTTTGAAAGTACAAATCAAAGCGTTTTGAATTTATACATATTTCAACTTTCAACTTTCAACTCAAAAAAAGACTAAAAGAGCTGAAAGTTTTATTTTCATCTTTAAAATAAAATACGAAATATTTTTATAAAGAAATATCGCAAATATTATACGTACATATACAAATAATGTACGTACAAATATAATATACACAGATGGATCAAGTTCGAGGAAGATGTCGAAGAAGGTGGCAATAGGTGGAGCAAACCTCATGTTGCCACTTTATCACTGCACTCACTCTTTGAATTAAGGAGCCTGCTTTTAAACGGGACTGTTATGCTCGATATGGAAGCAGGCAGCTTAGAACAAATAGCTGATCTTGTTCTCGATAACATGATTAATAAAGGAGTATTGTTAGTCGAATTGCGAGAGAAGGTAAGAATATAGTCATGTACGCGCGTGAGAAAAAAATCATTCAAACACCTGTCCTATTGAAGTGGAAAGTTTTACGATATCCTTAAATAGATCACAAATACATTTATAATCCTCACATTCGCTATTGATATAACGCATATATATAAAATTCATTCATATCTCGTTAAGACAGGAACTAAATTATTGATTACACAAAAAGTAACGTTACCGCTAATGGGAAATAATGTCACCCTTTATTGATTTAAGAGAACTAAAAGATTTATGATTTATCTATACTTATTACTTATATTTTTGATCTGTAAATCAATACTTTGGCACGTCAGGCACACGTGCACCTCTAATAAATCGACTAGACAGACTATAATATCATTTTAGGTGAGAGAAGCCCTTCTTGTCCGACATCGGCATCAACACGAAAGACGTAAAGACAATAACATGTCGAAGTTACCGATCATAAGATCGTTAGCTGAGATAGGACGTAATCATTCCTCCTCAAAGAGTAAGTTTCACGTTACTTCTTCCTCTCACAGTATCGATAAATTATTTTTCGACAGGTTGCCGATGGTTCTACACAAATAATGTACATACATGTGTTTTTAATATCAGGCACATGGCGCTCAGAAAAACACAGATTGTTTCAGCGTTTAGCACCATCCCTCAGCGTTTACCTATCTAACATATCCTTCTTCACATGCGCTTTTCTTTTTTTATTTTATATTTATATTTAATTTACCATTTCTTCTAAATTGTATTTTGTTTTTTATTTAATAATAAATAAATTTTGTTTAATAAATTTATTATGTGATAAATGGTGTAATAAACACTATAATTATTAATTCATAAACAAGATAATATATTTCTATAACCTGTCATAATTTTTATTATTTAAATTAATATATATATTTAATTATTATTTTATAGGCTCATAATGATCCGAAATAATGTTTAAATGAATATATAATAATAATAAATTTTTTAATTTGAGGCTGAATTAAAGGCTCAATTTTTTTATTTCTTAATTTTTATTTTACAAATTAATTTTCTTTCATCTTTGATATTTCAGGTCATTAAGAGTTTGATTTAATTTAATTTCTCTTAATTTCTAATCCAATTTTGTTTTTATTTTTACCTGCATTTTCGTTGAAGACCACCCTGATGACGGTGGCGAGACGAAAGAGTCGGGTCCAAGGGTCCTAGAGTGTGCTAACTTTGTTAAAACACGTACGACACAATCGACATTTTCAGATAGCGACTGTTCATGTGGTATGCATGCGTTGTTGACGTCAGATTTGCAGGAGAGTCGTGATCCAAAGGATACTTACGTACCGTCCGTGGCTCGCAGCAGCAGCTGTCCGAACTCGAACATGGCTCCGCTGTCGAAAGAGGCGAAAGACCTCAAAGGGCCGTACCTTCTGGTTCCAGGTACAACTTAGGCCAGTTCATCCGCTAAGCAGCCTTGGATTGCGGTGCTTTCGTCGCTTTTTTAACCACACCCCAATGGAACAATCCACTAACAATTACAACATGCGTGTATCGATTGCTTCGCAAATGCTAGGATGTTTTTATTGCGAAATTAAAAGCATTGGCAAGTCTAGTTCTGCAACTTCGATCCTGAGAGATTCGTGATTTGATAAACTGAATAGGCTTACATTCTGATATGCCAATAAGGAATAATGTAATTCTTGAAAAGTTTATTTTAATTAAATACGCTAAGGACAAAATTTTAAAATTTTAGAATGATAATCTATGATTATACGAATTTGGGAGGCAAGCGATACTTTTAGCTATAACTTGGTATCATTGGATTGTGTGTCTTAGTGCGTGCCGATCAAGCGAGGATCAAGACAATCTCGATTGTCGCTGGATCCGTCCGCGATCCATTGGATTTACAAGCCATCATGGTCATTCCCCAACTGCCTGATGTTTCTTGGTGATTGTCTTGCTAATTGATTGTCAATGTGAAATAATTGGCGTCATCAAGACTGCTCATCGCCTTCATCGAGTCACCCTCTTCGTGCTCCGGAGCTCAAGCCGGTCGAAAATTTGTAACTTACCATCGTTTCTTTTCTTTTGTCAGACGAATTTGGCATACCCCACGTGGTGGGATTCACGACGTGGTTCGCGATGTGTCCGCTAAAAGGTTAGCTTGCCAGATGGTTTATTCTCGATTCTACGAATCTGCACAAAATTCTACTTCTCACTTATCTTCCGTTTATACTAAAATCTCTTTTCTGTCATCTTTCGTGTCTTATCACGTGTCTTATCATATAAGCTCGTGATCGACGCGCGACGAAATTCATCATTTCGGTTTCTTGTCAATCCTGTCTCCTATTATTTTAACTATGTCGATGGAATTGTAATTATTTTTATTGTAATGCACAAGAGTTTCAACTATAAGGACACAACATTCTCTTGCGCGAAACGAGAATTCCGAGTAATCTGGCAAAATAGATGTCGCACAGATTCAAAATTTCGTAACAGTTTGATAGTTTTTTTTACATGTCATTGATTCGAACAGTCAGATATTAATCCACGAGAAAATACCACTTCTACAAATTATACGTGTCCTTATCGACAAGAGTATAAATGTCAACTACACTGTAGATACGCGTCTGACCTATTCTAGCCACAACTACTGTGTTCAATTCTACCTCTCAAATATTAGACACATCTTGATCATTCGCAATACACATTGAAATTGATTATGTGGTTGCTAATGCGGTTACAGCAATACGAGAAATGGATTGTGGTCACCCGTAATCTGTATTCTCACTGGCATTAAATGTGGCTGTCTAATTACCATTTTCTATTGATATTGACTGATATCACCCTTCAGTTTAAACAAATAAGATCAGACAACGATATTAAATGTATGATGAGAATATAGAGGATTGTAATATATTTGCGAATGACGGGTTTACTTCCTATCATACGTGACGTTACTATAATTTACTGTTCGCGGTCTCATTATCCATTGATCAACATGCACGTTCCTTCGTTGATAATGTAGGCCAACATTTATAATTCCAATCATGAGGCATGGATCTTTCTATGTGATCTTACTAAGTGCACGTAATTCGATGTAAACCCTGTCTACTATACATTCATTATTGTGCATTTATAGTTCTCAGTGTTATAATCGACTAATCTCTTTTCAGTATCCTTTTCAGTAACATTAATCCATTCTCCTTATAACCTGCGAAGAAGCGAAAATAAATACGATTTTTTTAATGTTATATTTTGAGACGCATATATTTCATAGAACGAAAGAAAATAAATATTGAATTATGGCAAAAAGTAAATTATTGTGAATTATTGCAAAAATGTAATAATTTTTCGGTTTGTTATATATTTTAAGTTATATATAGTTTTAGACTCTAAAATATTAAAGCGATTTACGATAAGTGCAATATATAGCATTGAACGCATTCAATGGACCGTGATTCAATGAAATATTACGTTATTGTGTTCTTTGTTAATTAATGAAGCGTTTCGTTGTTTATGTATATCTTCTAAATGTCGAGGGTTCGTGAGCCATTTTGAGCTTCGCGACTGCCGCGAAATTTACTGACGAATATATGCAAATGAAACGACGTTAAAGCATCAACAATGCGATGAAACGTGCGGTAAAGTCGCACAAAGAGATTTTGTAACGTATTTACCACTGCCACGCCCTGGTATTATGCGTATATTTTCTATATAAAAATAGAAACAATTGCATGTATAATTTTCTCCCCACGATAATATTGCAATCAGCACGTGTACTCATGTACATGGAATATTCCGGAACCAGGCTGTTTGTTTGCACGCAACAATCTTTTCTCAGATTAAATTTCCAGATTGAGTTTAAATCTCTGGTGTATACTAACGAAACTATTTTTAATTTCGACTAACGATTTATCCTGTATCCTGAAGGATTATTTTCGCGATGAGAAATACGATGAAAAACGAACGATATATATTCAAATCATTTTATTATACATTTTAAGTAACTTTGAGATCAAAGCGATCGCGAGTTATTATGGTGGCGAATCCTTTGTTCCTTCTCGCACCTTCCTTTGTAAATAAAAGACAATCCTGGTGTTGTGTTTCATGCTCATTTTTAGTGGAGGAATCGAATTCCGCTCCGGCGATCGCCGGCGCAACAAGTCAGGGCAGTGGAGCAGCGCTGAATGCTGGTAGCCGCTTCCTTGCGATACCCGGCAATCCCGGTAAACCGCTTTTCTGTGCTTGCTTTCTACTCATACACACCTTTATACTCGCGAGCTGCATTAATCCGTAGTGAAGTTCCATACGTATAAGTAGATTAATCTGCAGTAGCAATTATCCACGCTGTGCTCGACAAATGAGAAACCATTGTGAGATCGAAATGGATTGTTATTGGAACTCCGGAAGATTTAACAAACTTTGTCGTTTGTTAGAAAGATCAAAGTATCTTTATCATATTCCATAATGGTGGCCGATTTACAAATTGCGCTAAATGTTATTATGCCTCTTGCCAATTTTTGAAATTACTCGTAGAAAGAAGATTCGACGTAGAAATGAATGATAGAAATATTAATTATTATACATTTATTAAAAATAATCTAAGGATTTTTTGAATTTAAATAACTGTAAGAATATAACAGATTAATTAAATATCACAAATCTAGAAATGTTTGAACAGATATTGTGTTTCCAAGCGATCTTCTGTTCAATTGAAAATACAATATCTAAAAAATTATAGAGGAATATCAAATTACAAAGTAGAGTTTGTATTATTTTAATATGATAAGGTTTCAGGTTTAAAAAAATTTATAATAAGGTTATCCTTATAAAGAATCACTAGTGATCGTCACTAACATTTGATGCAAAGGTCAAGTGCTACTTTAAGTATAGTAGGTTTCGATCAAACGTTCATTTGATTTGCATAATCGAATAAATCGAGCGATATATCGATCATGCATGCTAATATTTAAAAAAACGATTTAGAATTATAAATAAATTAATGTGATTTTTGATTATCGCGCAATCAATATCGGTTTAATAATCTTAAAATCCGTCTGTATTTTATAACTGATAACATCTCTTTTCGATGACGCTTAAATTCTGTCAAATATTAAACAGATATTTATACGTAAAAGATTTAACTCTCTTTTTGATGAGAATTTGAGATAATCTGTTTCGCAAAATAGCATATTTAATTGATAAAACTCAAAGATAATATAAAATTGCAACATAATGCTGCAAATAAGACAAAACCGTGAATATTGAATTATTATTTGTGATTGTAAATATACAGAAATCAATATCATTTTATTTCGCGGTTAAAAATCATTAATATCTATGAATTGTTAAAAACTATATCTTTAATAAACATTTTTACATTCATTTACATTTTTTTTTTAAATGCTTTTATTTCGTGATTTTTTTAAAAGATAAATCTTGAACAGTTTTGTTCAAACAAAACGTTTTTACCTACAGTTTGATGTGTTTAATAAATATTATAAATTGTACATTTAATATTACAATGTTATTATTACCGTATCTTAATTTAATAAAGTTCTGGTATATTCTAAGCTCACATGTTAATTCTTTACCAAAGTAAAGTTTTGATTTGAATTTATGAGCAAATTTCACGCTTGTGTATAAAAGGAACAATTTAAAAAAAATTTTTTTCAAGCTCTAAGCCGATTTCTTGTTATTTTGCAAACATGTAGCTTGAATTAACCAAAAAAAATCATAAGTCTCCGCGGAGATTTGATGAATGATTATGTTGTTAACGTGTTTGCTCTTTTCTATCCTGTGACAGATTGTCTTAAAGCGGAACGCAGAGGTAAATTCGTGCGAATGACGTGGCGCGTGAAATTCGAGCTGTACAAATTGTAATCTGTCTCGCGCGCACATTTTGGAGGATTAATGACACATAGGCGGATGAAAGCCATCATTTTCCTCATTGCATGCTATTGACAGGGATTATTATTCAAACTATGTGTAAAAATGTAGGTAGTAAGCTAGATCTCTTTCAGGCCAAGAACCAGGAAGCAACGGCATGGATCGGAGTCCCAGCAGCGTGTCTATCAGCAGAAATCACAGCTCCTCCGCTTTAGAAAACGGAGACGTTAATCACAAGGTTCGTAAATATATTATTCACGTAATCAGATCCTTGAGAAATTAAATCTTCCTAACTTAGCGTAATCTCACTATGATAGTTATGTATTATAATATGATGAAAATTTTATAATAAAAAATATTTAAATTATTATATTAATAATCTTTAAATTATTGTAAAATATTGAATTAAATATTGTATAATTAAAAGTTGTAAATCTGTACGATATTCGTACATGTAATGTATTTAGCCTTGTGCACGTAAAGGCTTAGTATAATTATCATAAGCGACGTTCGGTTTTAACACTCACGTTATGTAAGCTTTATTTTATCTTTCTGTCACATGTAATTAGTAATAAAGATACAGCTCACAGTTTATGACCGTTCAAACCAAATGTAGCCATAATAATTAGCCAATTACCTTTCATTATTTTAAATATCCGACAAACACTTAATCAAAGAATCGCTTAATTTTTTTAGCAATCCTTTAAAAAGGCTTTATTCTAATCTTTCCCCTTTAATGTTAAGATTGATTTTTCATATCGCGAGCAGTTTAATCCAAGAAACTTCAATTCCACTTTTTCATTAGGGTAATACGCACTTTATGAGGAAGATACCAGCCGGCGCTGAGGCAAGCAACATACTCGTAGGTGAAGTTGATTTTCTCGACAAGACTTTGTCCGCATTCATCCGGTTAAGCCAAGCTGGAATAATGGGGGACCTGACAGAAGTTCCTGTTCCGACAAGATTCATTTTTGTCCTCTTGGGACCCATGGTAAGAACGCTATTATCGTTACTATCGCGACTTATATATAGAGATAAGATTAAATGTAAGAATGAAAAGCGAGAGAGTTATGATCTCGATCTACTTTAAGCATCATTTCTTGCGCATCAGCTAGATTTATAATTGCTGTGATGAAAAGTGATTTTACTATATGATATACTTTATTTAAGCTGCACATCTCATATAAAATAGATTAAATAGATAAATTAAAAATCACATTTCTTAATTCCAATAAAATCTTTTAATAAATAAACAATCATTAATATATATGTATAAGATAAGTATTGATATTTTTAGTCGAAGCAATTTTACTATTAATAAATTAATAAATTTTGTGAATTTTGTATATTGTTTATATATACTTCGTGTTCTCCCTTTTAAAGCATATGCTGATTACTATTTTATCTTAAAACACAGTTTTATCAAAATCTGAAAATGTAGAATCACGTTATCAAATTAATAATCAAAATAATATTATTGATGTTAATACTTATCTCATCTATAAGGAATTTATTCGAGAAATATTTTCAATAATAATAGATCTAAGTTCGAACTTTGGCTGGGATAATATTAAATATAAGATTTTGTTCAAACCGACCAAAAATTAATATTTATTTATCTTATATATAAATCTTTTCTTCTTGATTTTTCCACTAAAATACTTTTCTTACGAATATATTAGGTGTTGGAATTAATTCGTAGCGTTTTACAAGTGATGGGAAGTACTTTCATTAATGTATTTTTTAATGCTCATGTGAAATAAATAACATTCTTTCATTAAAAAACGCTACGAATTAATTCCAACACCTAATAATACAATCATTATATATTATGAATATAACCTGTTTTCTTTCTTTTTATTTAAACAATGGTAAAAACAATTTTTCATAGACCTCTCGATATTCAAAATAATATTACAATAAAACCGGGTAAATTAGAGCTACATTAATTCTAATTTGTTTGATTTTATTGTAATCTTATTTTTATTTAAGATATACAAATTGAAACGCGTCGTATAAACTAAATAGCAATTGAAGTTCGTAAGAGAAATAGCTTTCTACAACAACAAAAAATTATTGCTATTTTTAAAACTCTAACTTATTTACTTCGGAACGTTATACATTTGAAAGTATCAGGTAATCTCCTTGGAGATTACTATGTTCAAAAGAAGTTCGGACGTATAGTACACGCGAGTCTGAAACTTTATGTTTGAAATATTAAAATATATTAACGTAAAATATATCAACGTAACATATAAATAAATTATGTAATGTAAATATAATTCCCAGATGTAGGGCTATCAAATAAAATTGCTGTATATTCAAATTCGTTATACAACGTTATGTTGTATATTCAAAATCATTAACGAATTCTCTGACTTTGTCTTAAATCGTCGATTGTCTGCACGAATCAATATCTCTACTCGGCTATTATAGTTATATCAATGGCTTATCACAGGCAATCATCTTCCACCACATTCAATCTCGAATAGGTGAGACCTAAAAACGAACAAGCTAGTCCAAACTGCGCAACTTCTCACTTTATGTGAATACTATATATGCACACCTAAATGTCAATTTGAAACACGAGAAGGTCGTCTTTTGCCATAGCGGAGTAATTAAATCTTTAATAAGCAGTGCTTGCACTAACAATAGCATGCAAATACGCAATAGTATATTTAAATCACATTTACGTGAAAAATAACTTACTTCATACGTATAGATTCCTGAAAGATAATCGGCGGACGTATGCTGCTTGCGTCCGCTGGTTATTATCTCGAGAGATCTATATGTAAAGTAATTTATTTTTCACGTAAATGCGATTTACATAAGCCATTGTGATCTTAACATGTTTTATAAACTACAATATTTTTACATGTAGCAATATTAGTCTCTGAAAACGATTTTTTCCATTAGCCATGTTTGGTTCAAATTAAAATTTTATTTTTTTAATAATAAATATAAGAAATGTCAATCACTTTATTAAAAAATTTTCAAAAATTTATAGTAAAAAAATATATAAAAAATGTAAAAATTCTCAAGTAAAATATTAATTAATATTATCAAAAATTTAAATGATATTAAATAACGTTAAATAACATTAAATATAAAAATAATTTAAATTAAAGTAATATCATTCTCTTGATAATAATCTTGTAATTATAGAATAACTCCAGTATATACGCGGTGTACTTATCAAACACTTAATTTATTAAGTATTATTTACTATGTTTAAAATAAACGAACTACATCAGTAAAAACTTTGTATTGTCTACTATAAAAAAAAGTATTAAAAATCCGAAATATTTATTTTTCGTATTAAAAAATGAACTTTTTGTAACCCTAGCATTTTTGCCGCATATACATATCTCCCCCCTCTCCCTATAGCCATATAGGATGGGATATATGGCTATAGGGAGAGGGGGAGGTATGTACAGCTCACAAAAAATTTGCAAATAATGCATAAAAATGAGACGTAAAATGACACAATAACTTATAAAATGCATTTAAAGTTTTATTAAGGAGTAAGAATGAAAAATATGTGTATGAAGTAATAAATAATAATTATAATCTTTCTTCATATATTACAAGTGTCATGATATGAAGTACATATTTCATGTAACGCGTTTATTGCATTTAGTGCACTGAATTCAATCTGGGCATAAATCTCGCCCGCTAAAAATGCCGTACAGGTGAGATATATCCCAAACAGGTGAGATATACAAGACAATAAACTAAACAAAGAATACAAAAACAAAGCATTGGTATTTTGCTATACAACATGCTTTATTGTTCTTCTACACATCAATTGTTCTTCTATGCATCACGAAATAATCACTAAGTCTTTTATACGCTCTACATTAATCATTCATTTATGTAGATTATAATTTATGATGGCGCTACTTATTACAGTGACAAATCGATTCAACTCATAATAATTTCATTAATATTAACAGTAAGAAGCTGAAATTATAATTCAATATTAATATATAACATAAAGGCAAACACAGAATAACAGAGTAGTTACGGGACAATTACCCCCACTCCTTCTATTTTTTCTGACTTCTGCGACGTAAATCCCAGCGCGGTGTATTTGCCGGAGTTATCCTATGAATTATTTATATCATTTTTGCACACATAGAATAGATATGAGAGGCTATTCTATGTTTTAGTAATAAACCTGAAAGCATTAAATCAAATTTTGATGACGTCTTCCTTTCTTGAATAAAATTGAATTTACGTCATATCAGTTCTTAGATTGTATGGGTATAATATCTTTGTGATAAAAATTATTTATCGATAAACAGAGTTATTTTTGCGCATTACACGCGACTGATAATCTTCACAGGTTCTTATAAACCCCCTAACGTTTCACCTCGCCTCATCTTATTTTGTATTAAGTAATTGTTCGCGATAAGTTATGCAATAATTATTAATCGTGTTAATGCGCTATTTTTTATAATGGTATTTTATAATAAATTATTAAAGTATAATAAAAAGAGTAGAAAAAATATATAACAATATTACAATTACATTAAACAATACACGAAATATATATATCTATAAGAATTTATAAAATTTACTACTTTTTAAATAAAGCTGGGTCACTTTTAGGGTGGGATTTCGGGTTTCCACGAAATTGGTCGAGCTATGGCGACCTTGATGTCCGACGAAGTCTTCCACGACGTGGCTTACAAGGCAAAAAATAGAAATCATCTCTTGGCTGGTATTGACGAGTTCTTAGATGCTGTGACGGTATTACCACCTGGTGAGTGGGATCCAGCAATCAGAATAGAACCGCCAGCCGCTATACCATCGCAGGTGAGAATAGTCTTGTCAGGAATAAGAAGTGATATAATCTTTATGAGTTCAGATCTCAATATTACATAATTAAACGCATAAAAATAATATCTTTATCGGTGATAGAAGCATGTGACAAGAAAAATTCTTTCTTGCGTGTGTCTATAATATTAAAATTGAAACAATCAAAATTATATCAATTTTGATATTTTTTTAAAAATACAAGTCTATGGAAAGTATTCATCACTTCAATCGCAGTTTGATTTTACGTTCTCAGGAAGTCAGAAAGAGACCCAAAGAGGAAAAACCTAAGGAAGAGTTCGACGAGGAAGCTGATGAACAAAAGCTAAGGGAGGAATCCGGCCTTTCGAGAACCGGTAGACTGTTCGGCGGTCTGATTAACGACATTAAAAGAAAAGGTCCATTTTACTTTTCCGATTTCAAGGATGCCCTTGCACTTCAATGCGTCGCGTCTTTTATTTTCTTATATTTCGCCTGCTTGTCACCCATCATTACTTTCGGTGGCCTCCTCAGCGAAGCTACTGGAAAAAACATGGCTGCTATGGAATCGCTAGTTTCCGGTTTCGTCTGCGGCATTGGATATGGCTTCTTCTCTGGTCAGCCATTGACTATACTTGGTTCCACCGGTCCAGTTCTAGTTTTCGAGACGATTGTCTACGAATTCTGCAAGTGAGTCTTGATAAACAATTTATCTACATTTCAATTAATTCTACAAAAATTTTTACTACTTTATATAACTAATTAGCATTTGATTATATTGTAACTTCAAAAGATACAGTCATTGAACGCGTAAAATAAAAAATCTTATTTATTAACATCTTCTTTCTCCAAAATAATCTGATCAGATCATTATTTTTGCAGAAAAGTCGACTGGAGTTACATGTCTTTCCGTTTTTGGATCGGTACATGGATCTCCATAATTTTGATGATTCTCGTGGCTCTTGACGCAAGTGCTTGCGTTTGTTATATCACTCGATTTACGGAGGAAAATTTTGCCACTCTCATCGCTTTCATTTTTATCTATAAGGTAAAAATATTCGTATTACTTATCCAGTATAAGCTAGATACATTAATTTATTAAATTTTTTATCGATTCTTTTTATATTCTTCGATATTAAAAGCGTTTTAAAAAACGCATTATTTAGTCATAAAAAAATTAATGTTATGCATTCGATTATTTAAGCGAAAGTTGCGTTTATATTTTTTATATAATTATCTGTTTAATATCTTATATGTATTAAGTGTATCAGTACATTCTAGGCAATCGAAAACGTGCTTTCAATCGGCAAGAAATATCCCTTAAACACCTATTCCAGCGAAACAATGGACTATGATTGCTTGTGTAAACCACCGAATACCAGTCTGCCATCCAGTTATAACAGTATGAATTGGACGATGTTAGATAAAACAGCTTGCGAGGTAATTTCAAAATAATATAAAAGTCAGTATGAGAAGTTAAGCACGCGACAATTCATTCATTGTTAAAAACACTTTTCCATATACATCTTGAAATCTGAATTTCATTAAAGCACATTAATACGACTATATCGGAGTGTTCCATATTTGATTACGTTACGATTAACTATACTCATTCACAGCGACTGATACTTGAAATTTTTCTATTAAACCAAAAAAGATCAGAAAATTTTATATTAAGTTAGCCAGTTAGCGACGCAAACAATCGGGTCTCACACACACAAAAAAAACTCCCATTGTGTTACAAAATTATCAAAACAATTTTTATCTTGGTTATTTATGTAACCTCATGTCATAATAAAAAATGCAAATTTTATTTAAATATCAGCTCACTTGATAACTTTACTTGATATCTCGCTTGAATGATAAAAAAAAACATCCAAACAAACGTCTCGTTACGCTCAATCGCAACAGTCAAACGCGTATGCTTCTTATATTTTCTTGAGAAATTACAAGTTTCTATGTGCAAAGTAGTAGATTACTAGGTGTTTTTGAATTTACGAGAAAATAGGATCTTTCAAGCAATCTAATTCGTTTCTGCTTTGATGTCATGTTCGTTAATGCTTCTTTCAGAATTACAATGGCACTATGATGGGCGATGGCTGCAACATACCACATTATGTACCCGACGTGTTCCTTATGTCAATTATCCTATTCATGGGCACGTTCTTACTATCAATAGAGCTCAAGGATTTCAAGAATGCTTTATTTTTTCCCTCAAAGGTAAAAACATGCTTTAATTGAAGAAGAAGATACAAGATCAGCTTTATTTTTTCTGAAAATAAATATTAAAGAAGTTATAAGACTAGAGTTCTAAAATTATTACTTATCCTATAAAAATATAAAAATATATTATAAGCATATCTTTATTTTTATTAAAAACTCAATAATTTATCTTATTTTCGTCACATTTACCATGCTTTCTTTTTTGGCATTTTTATGTTGCTTTAGGTGAGGCAAGTGGTGAGCGATTTTGCAGTAATAATAGCGATATTCTCTATGAGCTCATTGGATCATTTCGTGGGCATTCCAACACCGAAATTGGAAGTGCCAACGGAATTCAAACCAACATTGGAAGGACGAGGATGGATAATCTGGCCTTTTCAAGGGAATCCGTGGTGGAGTGCTATCGGGGCATTCCTCCCTGCTTTGTTGGGTACTATATTGATCTTCATGGATCAGCAAATCACGGCCGTTATTGTTAATAGAAAAGAGAATAAATTAAAGGTAAGCAATTATGCCTCTATCTATTCTCGTTAATAGATGTCACTTGAAAAGAATGCAAAAAAAAAAGAATACATTGAATAATTAACAATAGTAACAATAATACAGCAATAATAAACTCTATCAAAGATCTTATTAATGCTTTTTCAGAAAGGATGCGGGTACCATCTGGATCTTTTTGTCCTGTCGATCTTGATCGAGATATGCTCGGTAATGGGACTTCCATGGTTTGTCGCAGCGACAGTCCTCTCTATAAACCATGTAAACTCATTAAAATTGGAATCCGAATGCGCCGCCCCGGGCGAGAAGCCGCAGTTTTTAGGTGTCCGTGAACAAAGAGTTACTCACATACTGATATTCCTGATGATCGGGTGCTCGGTGCTCCTAACACCGATGCTAAGAAACATACCGATGCCGGTGCTGTTCGGCGTCTTCCTATACATGGGTGTCGCGTCGCTAAAAGGTCTTCAATTCTTCGACAGAATTCTTATAATGCTGATGCCTGTTAAGTATCAACCAGACTACATGTTCCTTCGCCAGGTAAGTGAATAGTTCCGACGTTTGGATATCTTTAAAATAGCTTGAAACGCATTCATTATAAATTTCTTTTAGGATATATTTTCTTTAATAAAATATTAACTTTAATAAAATATTTCAAAACTTTTAACATTTTTTATAATTCCTATTGATCTGATTAATGCATTATTCAACACTATTTTTCAACAAGATAGTGAATAGTTATTTCTTTTATATAATATTTTTATCTATTAAACACTAATTCTTTAGTCAAAATTGGCTATCACATTACAATTTTGAGAAAAATACCATCAGAGACAAAAAATAACAATTTTAAAAACATTTTTATTTGTACACATTTGTTGACATTGTAGCTTTGTCAAAAAATTTTTTTCGATATATGAAAGAGATGTAAAATACGATTATATTATGTAAAAGTATGAATTTTTGCTTTAAAAATGTATTTCGTTTTGTTTCAGTATAATTTTCTGTTTTCAAGATAATTCAATTTGAAAATAGTTCCTTTTTCCATATAATATAAAAACATGAAAAAAGCATTTTATTCCATTTTAATTAATGCATTAGGTAAAAAATATAAATATTTTTTGTACTAATATAATATAATCGGATCATGTCAAAAAATATAAAATTAACAAAATACAATATAAATATATTAGGCAGGAAGATTATTAATTTCCATGATTTAAAATTACAATCTTCCTATCACATTATATTTTGTCAATTTTTATCAATTGCTTTTTTATTTAACACGATCCAATATTATACGTTACATTTATTATAATTTAACATAGTTAATAATAACACTTAATTTTTACATAGTGCAGTATTAAGATGAAATAAAATGCCTTAATGTATTATCTAGAAAAGAGCTATTTTCAAATTGCTATATTCTGAAAATAAAATAATATCGACACAAAATAAAATTTATTTTGAAACTAAAAACTAATATTTTCGTGTGGCATTAATGAAATTTAGAAAAAGAATTGGCTATAAAATTGTTTTTAGCCTTTTTATTCCATTTTGCTTAAAATGAATAGCCAATGGATTTGTGTTGAGCTTGCAAAAATATATGATAAATGACTATTTATATTCGTATTGCAAAGAAAAATCAAATTTTATCAGATAGTTATCTAAAATTAAATATTTCCAACATTTGAATTCCAAATATATGTTTTTAGGTTCCATTAAAACGTGTACATATGTTCACTGCGATTCAACTTGCTTGCCTCACTTGTCTGTGGCTTATAAAATCCTTCAGTCATACTTCTATTTTGTTTCCTTTAATGGTAAGTGATTACTCCAAGGATTAATAAGTCATTCGTAATTTAATAATATTTGTACCTTTTATGAATTATTAATCCAGATTTAATAAACAGAAAAATTTAAATAAAAATATATCTATTATTCTTCTTATTTACGGAAGGACTACTACAAAAAAATCAATTAATCATCTTATTTATTAATAAATTATTTTACAAAGTAAATTAAATTGTTGGTCTTTGAAAATTATCATTTTATTAAGAAAGTCAGGTATATATACACACATCTCGATAAAATTATCTCGTCACATATATCCACATCTAATATTAGACTCTCTGTAGCGATCATAAAGTTAAAAATTTCAATCTTAGAATTGACATGTTTTGTGCAAACACACAAGTGACACATTTTCAAGGACATAATTCCTAATATAAATGTTTATAGCTTTGTAATCTATAATGTAAATATTTACAGCTCGTGGTAATGATTGGCATACGCAAATCCCTGGATTTAATGTTTACGCAACGCGAGCTGAAAATCCTCGACGACATAATGCCGGAAACAACCAAGAAACACGCCGACGATCTTCGTAAGCTGGAGAACGGCGAGGTTAGCACCGCGACACGAATATTAAACGCCATCACCTGTCGCAAATAGCATACAGAAGGTGATCGCGTGGCGAACGCTCGCCCCGTGGTCACCATAACTCTCTCCGACTTTGGAGAATCCGCCCTTTGTAAAAGAAATGATGTATACTACGATGAATGATCGGACGAATGTCATCTAAAACGAATTAGTTTTTCGTCGTTGCGCGGAACAAATTCGAGTAAAAATTTAGGATCTCCGAATATATGGGGCTAGAATATAATTTAATTTAAAGCGCATAATTATATATACGCCGGATAATTTAAGAGTGCCAAACTTGGCCTTTAATAATTTAAAAGAAAAGTACGGACGGACCAATAATTTTTACGCAAAACGCACACTTTTTACTATTTCGTCGAAACAACACTTTCCTCCTTTTTGCGATCAAGATTTTTTTTTTATTTTCGCAAATAACATTTTTCACCGCCTGAAACAGGATGACGAGAATGGTACCATAAAAAAAAAAAACGTTCCGAAAATGCGCACATGGACTGTTTTCAGTCTGTAGAAATTTTTTGAAACACGACTTGAAATTTACCCATTTTATGAAAATACATAATATATTGTTGCTTCGAGCATTTATGCGGCAAATTTTTATATTTTTTTAATGAACCAAATCTCGGCCTTGAAAGCCATCCTCTCGTCTTCCATTTTGGAACACGTGCCAAACAACCTTTACCCTCAAATCCAGGTGGTGTACTGATCGACCAGTATTAAAGTAAATATTATGATATATAATCGTTGTTGAATTTTTGAATGCGGTAGACCTTTGGATACCGCAATCTTAAACGTTTTTATCGATAGCATCGTTGTTGTAGCGAAATTAGAGTAATGTGTTGAGTGTTGATCGTTTTTGCGAGCGCTTCGAACACGTCGGCGACTACCCGAAATTTTATTTTTTGTGCAATAATTCGCTCCAAGTTTCCAGATTATTCTTCAATGGTGAACCGCGCGCGATGAATTTTTATCGATGTCTTCATTGATGTGTGATGTCTTTGATGGAATTATACATAATTATCTTTGTTTATATATACATATATTGGTTATATAATCTTAGGCGAATTTAAGATAGAGATAAGTAAATGCAATTTTCGTTATTACGCCGTAATATAATTAAATAATAATTGAATAATAATACTCTTACGAGTATAATAGTTACAAGCATAGTTGCGCGTATCAAGCACGACATTGCAAACTATTAACGGTAGTTAAGGAAAATTATTGTTGCAAGGTAAGCAATATTGTACCGTTTTTGTTCATACATTCGAATAAATTAATGTAGCACTTCTTCTATAATTTATACATTCCAACATTACAACAAACAAAGGGCTGTTTGAAATAAAATCATGATCAGTTCACCATGGGAGAGTACACGTTCGCAGCATTGCGAATTTTTTAATATATTGTTAGTTAATTGATTAAACGGAAAGCGGGTCCTATCATCGAAATGATATCAACGAAGATATTTATTGAATAGCGATCGACACATCGCAATTGATATTCGCGACTTGGCGAAACAAAGTGTTGTTGCATTTAATATATTATCGTGTCGCTAATATCCTTTTCTGTGAACCATTCGAGACTCTTATATCGATTTAATGCGCCGTCGTTCATGCAGTTCACGTATCTTATTATGTAAAAATACATTATTGTTTTTTTCGAAACACACGAAACCTCTTTATAATTCCAGTATCTCCTAACACAATTAATGACTCATGTATAATAATTTACAGTTCGTCTGCTTGAGAGCTTCTACTTATCTCTCGCAATAGTCAAATATAAAAATTTTTTATTGCAAAAAGAATGCAAATATTATGCCTAAAGAATGCAAATATTATGTTAGTGATATAAAATAATAAAATGAGTTTCGTGTAATTAACACTTAATTTACTTGTTATAAAATTGATCTTATTTTTAATATATTGTTCTGCTTTTTGGATTGCACATTTCATTTTATTTTTAATTTAAATATACAAACTAAATTTACATATGTAAAAATTGCAATCTTTTAATAGCTAAACTGCAAAAGTACTGTTACATATTTATTATACTTAAACTTTATTATTAAAAAAGATTCCCGTTTAACTGTCATTTTAATTTTTAATTTCTTTTTTATTTTGGTTTAAAAATTAATGACAACGAAGAAACAATATTTTTTACCGTAATCTTACGAAGACAAAACTAATCTAAAATTAGATACGCATAAAACAGTATAATCATTATGTGTAATTTTTCGTATGATACGGTACGGTAATAATATCAGTAAAAGGAATACAATATTTTTGAAATTATCTTAACGCGAGCGAGTGATTAAGTGAAGCGTTGCACCGTGTAACAGCCAATTGCGTGCGTTCGTTGTTAACAATACAATTAAAGACAGAATAACTGAACGGAAGCACACCATGACTCACGGAGGAGAGTGACGATTCAGCGAGAGAAAATGAGAGAGCGACTGAAAGAAATCACACGAGCCGGACAAACACGGAGATATCAATACGGAAATCGCAAACGAAAAAAAACGCCAGTCGAATCCTCCGCCTGTCATCGGTACGTCACCATAAGTGCACGTCCGTAGTTTCGTCGCATATAGTCGACATGTTCTTTTCGCAAATAAATTATTCAGCGAACATCCTACGTCCGTTTGTAATCAAAGAAATTTTTCGGTAAATGAACGTGACGATGCACATTGCGATATATGCGTTTCAATAGTAATCATGCGCCACTAAATTGAATACAATAACAGCATGTTATGAATTTTCTGCAAATTACATGGCAAGGATATATTACAGTTTATACTTATAATTAAGAATTAAAACAATATCATAATTGCACGATATTCAATCATCAAACTATGAAAAAAATATTGACAAATGTTAAAATATCAAAATGTGCCTTTACATATTTATATTATACTTGTTTCTAATTTGGTATTATAAATATCGGTATTGTAGTTCCTCACAAAATATAAATATCAATGTCAATTATTATTAATTGATATACCGTTATGCACGGATAAAATAATACAAAATATTGATAGAAATTATGATCGTAACTCTCAAGGTGAACAGAATCGTTATTTATTAAAATTATTTCCTCTCCTCGAAAAAGAGAAAGAAACAACTAATATAATTCTATCATCACAAATTCGTCGCACTGATTTTTCTATTGTGCATTCTTCTCTTTGTTAGACTTATCTACACGCCAAGTCACACCCTTGTAAATTTATTCATAGTGTTACGTGACGTCCCTGACTGATCGTTATTACTTCCTCGTATAATTATCGTATAATTGATCGACTGAAAAATATGCTGGCAAGCAACGTATTTCACCTGCTTCCCAGCAGTTCGAAGGCAACGCAAAGTTCGCTTGAATTTATGCATGGCCTGATAGAAATTTATCGCACATATCAAGATTGAGATTCAAACTATTGTTTCATTCGTACTGCAGGAACACAACGAAACGATGGGATATGGACCTCCTGCAGGGAACATTCAGATCTCTTTAGCTAATGGGAACATCATGAAGATTCCTTTGGCGAGTATCAATATCAGCGAGGAAGTGAATAAAACTGGTATCTGGCAACAAGTCAATGAAGGCAACGAAAAAACGAAACAGTCAAAATCACTAATCAAGTAAGTATTGAATTTCAAATGATTTTATGCATTTTTTGGAGAGATTATATAAAAATATAAGACATGGAATGAAATAACTGAAATTGTCAATTATATAAAACTTTCAAGCAATTTCTGATTAATGAAATTAATCTAATTATTTTTAATTAATTTTTCAAATTATTTATTTCATCTTTATTTAAATATTATTAAATATGTTTTCTGTCTTACTATTCATATTTTATTTTATTTATAATAATGATACTCTTTAACGACATTATATATTTTATTGATATATTATTTTTTAAATTTTATTATATATTTGTATATCATATTTTTCTAAAATATAAGAAATTTTTACGAGGAAGCTTTTTTAAATTTAACGATTCATCATCTTGCTTATATATTTATAGAATAAAACAAAGAATATAAATAAATAGCGCTCGAAATTTGCACAACAAAACAATTCAAATATAAATTAATAATTGACATGGAATTTTTTTCAATTTGCAACATTAGTCAAGCAAAATAGATAGGTTTATTTAATAATATTGAAAAAGACTGTAAAAATTGAAACGTCTATTCTTATATTCTTATTATTGGTGTGTTAAATTAAATATTTTTAATAAAACATCTTATATTTGCTCGTTTATTTAATCATTTGTAATTGAATATTTATAGAAGCTCATCATAAATTCCATTCAAGTAAGATATTGTAATGATTGTATAAAATCAAAACGTTACGACAACTGAAAACAAATAGACAATCGTTAAACTGTAATCAAATTGTTTCTCAATTAATTTAGTTGAAGAACTTGAACATAATTTAAAATTGACATAATTATTTTCAATAAAAGCATGATCATACACTTATAGAATTTGATTTTTTTAACACAGATTTTAATATTGTCTTTAATAATGAATTAATATTTGTTATAAAAAATATAAAAGCAATAAAGTTAAGATATATTCTATCGTAATTTCAATTTTTTTTTATAATAATGATTCTATAATATTGTTAATTTTCGAGTAAAAAGAGAAAAAAATATAAGTATCAACATCAAACTGTTATCATCTAATTTTTAATACTGATTAAGTTCGCGTAATTGTCTGACGTAGTGTGGGAAAGCAAAAGAAGCATCCAAAGAAGAACAACTCGTTGATAGCTGACGAAACAACGAGACTGACGACAATGACCGAAGAGGACGAAGATGACAGTGGGATCTCGATCAAGGTGACACACGTAAATGACTCTAAATTCTAACTACCATCACCATCACCAAAAAACCGACATTCATATGGCAAGATACACAGCAAGAGCACCAATATACCGGCATGCAACATATCCCATGCACCGCCGCTGTGAGTAAATTTACAAACGAGGATGGCATGACAATCCTCGTCGAGTCGACGTAAAAAACAAATTCAGACGCGGACGACTCATTGTAGAAAATATGGATTTTCATAGACGACAGAAATTTTTATTTTTCATAATGACAAAAATTAAACGTATATAAAATGATAATATTAACGTATTAAAATATTTACGAATAAAGAGTACAGAATTTCATGACAGATTTTATTCTTTTACTTCCTCGTAAATTTACACCATTGTATTTATGCGAAATCAGTGAAATATTCAAGAAAATATAAATTAAGAAACGTTTTTTAAATTTATTATTGTTATAAGAATCTGTTTATCATCTACAATTATATAATTAATTATGTTTTGCCTTTTTCATAACGTAATAGTCTATGAGATTCAATTTTGCAACTCTTGCTTATGCTCTTAGAGATACATATGTTAGCTCATTATTAATGGGAACAACGATATGGGAAGACGTTAGCTATGATTTATTTCATTTATTTGTATTTCACGTTATTATTATTATATGTAGTTTTTCAAATAAAAATAATAACTATGCAGCTTATTGTTAATGATTGATGATGAAAAAAATACAAAGCACAATATACAAATTTACGAAGAAACATTTTCTCATTTCGTAAAATGAGATATAAACGTCTCTCT